AATAACACTAAGCCAAAAACCACACGGCTTGGGTTCAAATAACTTTTTCTAAACCAAAACAGAAGAAGCCACATTATGACTTACTGTGTGTGATTGTATTTTGTGACTTCCTTCTAAAAAAGTATTTTTGATGAAGATACCATGGCAGTTTCACAGCATAAATTCAAGTACTGTTACTGAGAAACAGATTTCAGTAAGCTCAATTGAGCTCACTCTACTAACTTTTTCTCAAATATAACTGAGGTCCAAACGGTATGATGTGAAAAAAAATTGTGTTGCCATGATGTACAGATTCTGTTGAGAGCGTTAGATGCTTTTGTAGTAAAGTATCTTATTGTTGCTGCAGTAGTCCAATCAATGTACTGCAACAAAGTAGGCTTGGGTTAGAATAATCTTCATTCAGATACTAGGTGTAACCTGTGTGCACAGCCCTCCCAGAGTTCCTCTAAGGCTGAAGTAAAGCCAGGTTATGGCTGTGATAGTAAATCATCTATCTTTCTGACTGTTTATGTTTAGTATTCAAGGACCAAAGTGTATCTGACTCTTCCAGTAACACTTTTATGTCCAGTGTTAATTTTTTTTGAGTTGTGTAGACATTCTAGACAATAATCCCTCTAGTATTTAGTCACTGTTGTGTCATGCTTTCTGAAGAACTACTGTTTTGTTTTGTTCCTGTGCTATGTTTGAATGACATATTTGAATCAATGCTATCTGTTTGGTTCTGAATATATAGGAATTGAGTTCATCTTTCCCAATTGGAAGATTCAGTTCTACAAATGTTCTGTGTTCAGCTTATATGAGGTGTTACTTTGAACATCTATGGAGGCACGGAGGCATAGTTGGCTGTGTAAAAAAGCAAAGCTTACACGGCTCATAGATTTTCACTGGCTAGCCTGTTTCTTATAAAAGGAAAAGGAAACTTGCTAGGTGACGGGTGCCGCCTTGCAAGACAATAATAGAGCAGTCTGAAGAGATAAAAGGAGGTGGGGGGAAAGCTCTGACTCGCTTGTTGCTCTCTTCTTACAAATATTTATCAGGATAAGCAATTCAAATCTTTAGCTGTGAGACATCCAGTGTTGAATAATCTATTATCCCTGGTATGTGCAAATGGCTCTTTGTCTTTCTTTCCAAATATGCCACATTAAATCCATGCCAATCACCTCTTGTTTGACAAAGATACAGACTTAAGGGTGGATTTGGTTAATTCACCTGTGATTTTATTTATATTGGTCAGGCTCTGTCTTCAGAGAAATGAGTGTGATACCTGAGATCCAATAATGTGACTTCAGTACCTAATCTAGCAAGAGATAAAGATAAATTGTGACAAGGAGGAAGCCCTGACTTCCCCACAGATGGCTTTGGTAATTAACAAAGCAGGGTAAAAACACATGTTAGATGTAGATAAATTTATGCCAGGATCTGGTGTGTTCATCCATAATGAAAGCCTGTTTCAGTTCCCCAAAGGGATGTCAAATGTGAAAAGGGAAGAGTTTTAAATAGAAAATAGTCTGGTACTCTACATAGAGTGAAAAAGCCTTCTGTAGTTCAGATACATTTCCTAAAATTGGAAGGGGTGAACAGAGAAGTTGCCAGCATGTATGTAGCCATGCGGTGTTGAGAAGACAGTTTAGGGCAGTGAATAGGAGACCAAGGATAAATCAGATGCTTGGACTAGCAGCTATTTTAATCTCCCTTGACTAGCTATAAAAGGGAGCCAAAACAAATAAATCCAGTTTTGGATGGCCGTGCCGCATAGCAATTCAAATATTGTTTGTGCAACTTGGAGCAATATGTGCTCATAAAGACCTTGAAATGCTTTGCTAAAAGCTAACATTTGTAGAAATGACTTCAGTAAATCTAGCAAAAAAATATTGCAATGGGGAAACGCAAGCCTGCAGCAAATATTTGGTAGCTGCTAACTGGTTTCTTTGGCTGAGTTAAAGTTTTTCTTGGAAATGAGGGTTTTGAAAAGGAACTGGATGGTTGTCAAAAGCATCTTTGAAAAATGTATCCTTGCCTTTAATTAAGAATGCTATTTTGCCTTATTTGGTCATGGATACAATTCACTGGTAACTTTTAAAGCCCAGAGCCCTGAGATTGGCCATAGCAGGTATATATTGCTTCCTAAGAGAAATTATCTAGGCCATGTTGTGGAAAGGCTTTGTTGTGTTTTATGTTTGGGCTTGTTGTCCTCCTTACTTTAGGAAGCCTGACTTGAACAGCTTCTAAAGGATTGGCTGAGTTGGAGTAGCTCCATTTAACTGCTATTTTCAATGTTGCCTTTAACAAGATTCGTGTCTATTCTGTAATAAGATGTAAACACTTGGAAAAATCATTGATTTCAGCAAGAGAGAGTTCACTACACTATTTAAACTGCTCCAATTGAAACCAGTGAATTTAAAAAGCTGGGTTTACATAAGTGAAAGTTGTGGAGGAAGAAGTGTATCTACTTGTTTCTAAGGAAGTTATCATATTTTCTGAACCTTTTTCATATTTAACAAATGAGTGATTTAAAAAAAGAGAGAGATTGGCTATAAGGCAGCTTCCTTTGTTAAGTAGATCATTGGTTCCTTATATATTTGATAAAGATTTAAAATGGAGGAAATATTTAGAAATATTGCTCTAAAGCAGTATATATGACTTGTGCATATGTAAGGAAAGTGCATATGTAAAGAAAAAGAAACAGTTCCAAACTATCAGTAATATAGACAATATAAAACAGTTATCTCATATTTCATTTGTCTTTTTCCATTTGTAAATACTGGCTATAAATTTGCAGGCAAAATACAAAGCTTTGTATCACTCTTCCCAGTTGCCTCTTTGTTTGTCAATATGACTCAGTTTTTACAAACTCTAGTCTGCAAATGAATGGCTAAGTCTTTTGGTGTGGTTAGAGTTGGATTGAATTGAAATGGAAAAAATGAAAAGATAAATGATAATTCTGACCAAAAATATGGACATGCTCCTATAGATGAACATAGTGGAACATTTAAAAAAGGAATATAAAATTTCAGAACAAACAGAATAGTTTTATTTATTAATGACTAAAGTTTAAATTGATCTTAGAAAACATATTCAGATGCTGTACTGTGTCTATACCTACAAAGATCGGAATCATGCAAGCTATGGTATTCCCTGTGATATTCTATGAAAGTGAAAGATGGAATTTGAAAAAAACAAGATAGGAAGAGTATTAAGCTTTTGAATTTTTGGTGTTGGAGACAACTTCTGAGAAGTGCCATGGACAGCCTTGAAAACAAATTGCTGGATCATCGAACAAATCAATCCAGAACTCTCACTCAAGGCAAAAATGTCCAACTCAAATTATCCTATTTTGGGAACATTATGCAAAAGCTCCAATGCTGGGGGAAGGAAAGAAAATTAAGCAGGCAACCAGCAGCAAGGTGGATAGACTTAGTTACAATAGTGATGAGTGCACTGTTGGAAGAGCTGAAGAACAAGGTTAAGGAAAGGTCATCATTGAGACAATCAATGTGGTTGCTAAGAGTAGAAAGCAACTTGATGGCATGTAATAAATCATTTTAAAAATCAACTAATCTGGCTTTCAGGGAATCTGAGTATTTCTTAGTTTCCTTCAGTCATTTTTTCCAAAGCAGATTGTAGCAAAATGCTAGTAGTACGTTTTAAAAACACTATTAGCGTGTATTCCCTCTTCTCCACTAAATGTCACCAATTCTCAAGCATTTTGCTCACTTCCATAGATTGTGTTTCCTTAACCTTCTCCTCTTTAAAGTTTTGATGAGTTGGGTCTGTGTTTGGAATGTTGCTTGGGCATTCTGTAATTCTTGAATAAATGTTAGTTTCTTCAGTTTAAGTTCTGTTGTTGAGTCATGCCCCCCCCCCCCCGGACAAATGTATGAGTTACCCAGTAATTCTAATGCCTCACCAATACTGCATCATTTCTTTTTCAAGTACCAAAATCCTAGAAGGGAGGTAGAGTTTACTTGAGTGACAAAAACATGTACCAACCAAGCTCCATATTTTACTCAGTGTTGCTTCCTGTACTTTTGGCTGTGGAAACAGCAAGGATCTTGGATGGAGGAATGTACAGGTAGTCCTCAACTTACAACAGTTTGCTTGGTGACTGTTCAAAGTTACAATGGCACTGAAAAAAATGACTTATGACCATTTTTCACACTTATGCAGCATCCCCATGGTCGTGTGATTTACATTGGGATGCTTGTCAACTGACTCACATTTATGACAGTTGCAGTGTTCTGGAGTCATGTGATCACCTTTTCCAACTTTCTGATCAGCAAAGTCAATGGGGAAACCAGATTCACTTAACAACCATGCTACTCATTTAACAGCAGCAGGGATTCACTTAACAACGGTGGCAAGAAAAGTGGTAAAATGGGGCAAAACTCACTTAACAAATTTCTCACTTAGCAACATAAATGTTGGGCTCAATTGTGGTCATAAGTTGAGGATTGTCTTTATCTTACCATCATTTAATTGAAGTACAACTTGCCAAAGATCAATGAGCAATACTAAATCTCCAAAAGCCTTTGATTAAAAAGTAATACTACACCAACTGAACTTGGCAACAGTATTCAGTACGGTATGAATTATACTGTGAAAGCATCATAAACAACTTGATCATAGTTGCAACTCACCCAGGATTACACTATGGAAAATAACTTGGACTATACATTGTCAGAAGTTTAAAAAGGTTGCATTGACTTTTGAAGAGAGAACTGTTCTCTTCAGTTCACTTTTCTTTTGTGGTATTAGCCCCACTGATACCCAAATACTAGCTATATAAAGTCTTGGATTTTTGTTTTCTTGACTTATTAGGATGAATAATTTCTGATCCTGGAGCCATTTTAAATTTAAAAGAAAGCACAATAATTATTCTCTGCATATGTTGCACTTTTCTCGCTTCCTTCCTATTCATTCTTTCAATATGTTACCAAGTCTGCTTTGAGGGCTCTTACCTTGGGTTTTGCTTATCTAAAGATAATTTTTTATCTCTCAAGGTGTGAAAACATCAGTCTCTATCTTGAACTTCAAAGACAGGATGCTAGTTAAAGACAAATCCAGATGTTCTTCCATGATGTCCTTGAATAGATGCGTAAGATTCCTAGTTTTTAATCCCTATTTCTCTGTAACAGAGCAACTCCCCAACCCTTGGACAAGGAAAGCAAACAAAAATAAAATAAAGGAGGAACGTGGCTTTAGCAGGCTTCCATTCCATGGTTGCATTCCAGGATACAGTGGCCTTGTACCATCAATAGCCTTAGAGGAGAACATTAGAAAGCTGTCAGGTTCAGATAAGGCTGGGATCCTCTCCTGTGGGACCCTCAGTTGTATTAATAAGGAAAAATTAATTTTTAACCTCTGGGATGACTGCCAAATCCTATGACCTTTTGGCAGCCCAGCTGTGCTAGAAAAACAAATTGTAGGTATGTAAGAACAAAGGGGAGGGAATCCTACCACAAATTAAAGTACAGAATTTATTTATGATGGAGGAGGGGGGAGTACAGTTCTATACTGCCAAAATAAAAATATCTCTCTTTTTTGATACTGCCCTCCACTTAGCACTGGATGGTTGTAGATGCAAGAATTGTGTTTCCCATGAGGTCCTAGATTACACTTGTCTAATCCAGAACTTGAGACAAGTGATAGCAACGTCATACCCAAAGGAATGAGGGAATGTCAACAATTCCAGTTTTACCTTCATCCTAATAGCAACCTTTTGACACTTCTAATTAATACATATGCAAGAAAAAGGAGAATTGGTTTCTTTGCAAAAACAAAAACCACCCTTCTATCCAGCTACCAAAATTCCTACTAGAATTGAAGTCTGTGTTGTAAACCACGGCTGCTTCTGACACAGTTTAACAGTGGCACTTAGCAGAAGCAGAGTTCTAGTCATAGTGTTGTAAATGAACAGGATAAGCCTCTTTGAAGTCAACGTCAAATCAAACCTCAAAGGATGGTCTCTGATGTCCTTGTATTTCTTTCCTTGTAATTACAGGAAAAGAAAAATCCCTCTGTTGCCTAAGGTGGAAGTTCGCCTTAATAAAGCCTTCAGGAATTTGCTGTCTGGTGGTGCAGTGTGTACTTTCCAATATTTGGTTCCAGTCCTCTTCTGTTTGTTTTCACAGAATATTGCACCGAGGATGACATTTTCCTTTGAATTATGAATTCTCACAATCGTGTTATTTCCTGATTTAGAAATCTGACACTTGAAAGGTCAATTAAGAAGTGTTTCTCCCATCTATGGAAAAAGTGGGAGGACTGTTCTCAGCTGCAAAGAAATGCCCTGTAATCAGCCACTGGGTAGTCCGGGCTTAGGTGGTTACTTTAGAAGAGCGAAGTTATCAGGTCTGTAGTTATTTACAAGACCACTTACTACAAATAGAATCTGCAAAAAGTACATGTTGAGAGGCCTTATCCTTCCACCCAGTGTGAAGAGCAGTGGGATGGGACTCAGAAGAATGCATTCTCTCTCTGAGCATCCCTTCTGCAGAGCAGGCTACCGCCAGAAATAGCAAGTTCTGTGCTTTCATTTGTGACTGTTAGGAATATGGAAGATCAGGCTCTTGGAAAAAGCTTTTGGGAACTAATCTTAGTTTTTAGTTTACTTTATTGTCATTGCATCTCATACAACGAACTTAAATGCCATCTTCAGTGTAAATTATAACTATAAAAATAAAACACAAACACACATCCTTCACATTCCTATCTATACAATTGAATTGAAAACCCGATATTGCATTAATATTGCACTATAGAGTAGAATATAGTTTCTGCCCTAGAACAGAAGCTGTTTTTCAGCCTGTTTGTCCTTGTTTTTATTATCCTGTACGGTCTGCCAGATGGTCATAGTTCAAAAAAAGGGTGCCCAGGATGAGATGGGTCTTTAAGAATGTTTTGAACTTTCTTAAGGCAGCGGGAGCTATAAAGCTCTTCCAAAGAGGAGGGAGGGAAACCAATGATCCCCTGGGCAATGATGTTAACCCTCTGGAGTGCTGTCCTATCTGCCACTGTACAATTGGCAAACCATACACAGGTGCAGTAAGTTAAAATACTCTCTATGGTGCAGCGGAAGAAGGTCACCAGCAGTTTTTCATTCAGTTGTTTGTCTCAGGTAGTAATCCCTTTTGACCAGTGCTGCAAGGTGAGTGCCCCAGGTCAGGTCTTCGTTTATAATAACACCCAGAAATTTAAAACTGGCCACTTGGTCTCCATTGATAAGCAAGGGCTGGATGTCAGATCTATTCCTTCTATAATCCACTATAAGCTCCTTGGTCTTATTTTTTAAAGTTGATAAATTTAAGACATTTTCTCAAATCTGTCCACTAATTATTATTCACTGCAGGGCATTCAGAGCTCTACAACTACTGTTTGGTTAATGTTTCAGCCAACCAATTTTCAAGAAATACCACTCATCCAATTATATTAATTTCCCATGTTTTACAATAACAAACTAGGAGCTAATACTATATAATTTTATATTCCTAGTAAACCTGGTCAATGAACCAGTAGCAAAAATTGTTATGAAAATATATAAAATGCTATTTCACTATTTCTTCAAAATTTTAAACTAGAAAGGCTCAATAATAATTGGGCGCTGCAATCAGACAGTGATATGTACCAATTTGCTTACAATTCTGCTAGCCCTGGACTAAACATGAAGCAAAGTAAGGCCATGCTTAGGACACTGAGCAACCTACCAGTGGTAGGTTCCACTTACCTTCACTACTGGTTCGCAACTTGCTTCGCTCGCGTGCAGCACTTCTGCACATGCGCAGAGCGTTTGTGATGATGTCTGGGCAGGTAGACGGAGCCTCCCACCACCGCTACTACTGGTTCGCCCAATCCAGAGCAAACCAGTAGAAACCCACCACTGGGGATACCACAGAGTTTTTCCCCCAGCTATCATGCCCTCAGTTGTTTCACTGTGATAATTTAGTCATTTTAAAAAAGTTTTCTTTATCTGTCATGTTTAATCAGCATTGTTAAAAAAATGTTTTCTTGGGCATGGGGAGTGACTAAAGTTTGAAAGTCTGATTGGAAGATGTCAGATATCACATTTGATTCCATCTCATGTCACGGGAGTATTACTTCTATGGAGGGACAACATTTTTAGGCTCTTATCATTTGGCCTAAATCTCGTCTTGAATTCTGCCAATCCAGTCTGAAAATGTTACAATTTATATCGTGCAATTTATAGCTGAGTGTCTGAGCTGCCTGTGGGTTATCAATTTCTGATGATTTGCTAAAATGAATTTTCAGGAAACACGGGGCCACAGACTTCCAGTGGGATTCATCAAGTTCAGATCTTCAATCATTCCCCTGGAGTTTTTAAAAGACTTTCAAGAAAATCTACCATGCTTAATACAAAAGTCTTATATAACATTAATGAGATTCTCCTGCTATAAAGAAGATATTTTTCAAATGTTAATGGTATCAATTGATGAGATTTACATATTTTATGAAAAAATGATTGAAGTTAAGTCATTTGAAACCAAGATGGTACGTGTAATTATTCTTCTTGCAAATTTTATTCATGGTTTCCATCAATAGCTAGGTCTGGTCCTGTAAAATCCCTTATCTTCCTGCTCCATGTATTGAACAAATTGATATCATGATTAAAAAGAGTATGACCAAGTAATGGAGAAGAGAAGAAAGGTTGGGGACCTTTTCTAAATTTATGTAGTACCTTTTAAAAAGGGATTTAAATACTGAGCCGTGCTGTGCAGTGGTTAGAATGCAGTATTGCAAGCAAACTCTGCCCACAGCCTGAAGTTCGATCCTGATGGGGCTCAGAGATGACTCAGCCTTCCATCCTTCCGAGGTCAGTAAAAAGAGGACCCATATTGTTGGGGGCAATATGCTTATATTGTAAACTGCCCAGAGAGTGCTGCAAAACACTGTGGGATGATATAAGTGCTGTTGCTATTTGAAAAATATACAGTAGTTTCTCCCCTATGTGAACTATTCTAAGCTATCTCTCAAGATTTTTGTGGGAAGAAAGGAAAGGGGGAAAAGCAGTCAAACAATTCTAGCAAATACATCTCAGCCAGAAATATAAACTGGTTTCTTAATTTATAAAGAAAAGGAAAGTGATGAGCTAATGCTAATTAAAACCAAATACTACTTAAATTAATTTAAATAATAATGCTAATTAAATTAATACATATATTAATTATATTAAAACCAAGTACTATTTAAGCCAGGTATAGAATAGGTGGTACCTGGCCCAACCATAGTAACTTTAAGTGGTACCTAGGTATCCTAGTGGACCAACACAAGTATGAGTGCTGCAGCTGCCAAAACAAAAACAAATGGAGTCATAGGTTGCATAGATGGGGATGGCATCAAGATCATGAGAAGTGATAACACCACTTTATACTGGACTAGTGAGACCACACTTGGAATACTGCATCCAGTTCTGGTCACCCTAATAAAAAGATGCTGAGAAAGACAGAGAAGAGCAGCAAAGATGATAAGGGGTCTAAAGGCTAAATCTTACTATGAATGGTTAAGGAAACTAGGTCGGTCTAGTCTAACAAAGAGGAGGAATAGGGGTGACATGGTAGCCAGTATTATTCTCGCAGAGAAGAGGGGCTCAACCTGTTCTCCAAAGCACGTGAAGGCAAGAAGTAATGGGTGGAAGGTCATTAAAGAAATATACAACCTAGAACTAATGAGAAATTTTATGATAATGAGAACAATTAATCAGTGGAACAACTTGCTTCCAGAATTGAGGGTGCTCCATCGCTGGAGGTTTTCAAGAAGTGATTGGAGAATCATTTGTCTGGAATCGTATAAGAGTCGTGCTTGAGTATGGGGTTGGACAAGAAATCCTTTAACGTCCCTTCCAGCCGCCGCCACCACCACCATCACCACCTCCTCCTCTTCTTCCTATTAGTCTGTTGTACTCTAATACTTGTGTGCTGAATTTAGCTTCCGAGTCCTACATATTTATTGGCATTGTTATCAGGGGTGAAATTCAGCAGGTTCTGACAGGTTCTGGAGAACCGGTAGCGGAAATTTTGAGTAGTTTGGAAAACCGGCAAATACCATCTCTGGCTGGCCCCAGAGTGGGGTGGAAATGGAGATTTTGCAATATCCTTCCCCCAGGAGTGGGGTGGGAATGGGGATTTTGCAGTATCTTTCCCCTGCCACACCCACCAAGCCACACCATGCCTACCAAGCCACGCCCACAGAACCAGTAGTAAAAAAAATTGAATTCCACCACTGATAGTTACTCATTTTTGTATTCTATTTTTATTTACAAAATGTAGGTAGTCCTCCAGTTACAACCACAATTGAGCCCAAAATATCTGTTATAAAGTGAGAAATTTGTTACGTAAGTTTGCCCCATTGTACAACCTTTCTTGCCTCAGTTGTTAAGTGAATCACTGCAGTTGATAAATTAGTAATCCGGTTGTTAAGTGAGTCTGGTTTCCCCATTGACTTTGCTTGTCAGAAGGTTGCAAAAAGGGATCACACCACCCCGGGACACAGCAACAGTCATAAATATGAACCAGTTACCAAGCATCTGAATTTTGATCACATGATCATGGGGTTGCTGCAACGGTCATAACTCTGAAAAACGGTCATAGGTCACTTTTTTTCAGTGCCGTTGTAACTTTGAATGATCTCTAATGCACTGTTGTAAGTTGAGGACTACCTGTATGTCCCTTCAGTCCAGCTGGACTCTAAGTGATTTGCCACATAACAGTATATAATATAATGCAATCAGGATGATTCAATAATATAAAACAGAAACAATATATCACTATAGTAAAATGAAAGCTTCCATTAATGTCTAAAGAATCAGTCTTAAAACACTCTCCAGAAAATCCAAGTCTTTACAACTTTCCAAAATCTAAAAGGTTGACAATCTTTCTTGCCTCAGAGCTCAAACTGTCCCATAAGAAGGTAGCAAATTTCTCAGATTTTCTGCTTGCTTGTTTGGTACCAAAACAGGTACTAAGTCTACAAGATTTAAGAACCTCCTTTTTACTTCCTAAAACTTCTCAAACTCAAAAATATTCTTCCCACTCCAGTGGCATAAATGATGTCAG